CAGAATGAGCTGTTTAAAAAAGATATTTTTAGCTCAGGATTAACGACGACTGCTGAAAGATAATTACTCTTAAAACAGAACCAGGACTAAAACAGAACTGAACCAGGACTAAAACAGAACTGAACCAGGACTAAAACAGGACTGAACCAGGACTAAAAACAGGACTAAAAGGACTAAACCAGGACTGAACCAGGACTACCAGAACTAAAGCAGAATTGAACTCGGACTAAAGCAGGTCTAAACCATGACTAAACAAGGTTTAAACCAGGTCTAAACCAGGACCGAACCAGGTCTAAACCAGGACTGAACCAGGACTAAACCAGGACTAAACCAGGACTGAACCAGGACTAAACCAGGACTAAACCAGAACTCAACCAGGACTAAACCAGGACTAAACCAGGTCTAAACCAGGACTGAAACCAGGTCTTAACCAGGACTGAACCAGGACTGAACAAGGACTGACCCAGAACTAAACCAGGACTGAACCAGGACTGAACCAGGACTAAACCAGGACTGAACCAGGACTAAACCAGAACTAAACCAGGTCTAAACCAAGACTGAACCAGGACTAAACCAGGACTAAACCAGGACTAAACCAGGACTGAACCAGGACTGAACCAGGTCTAAACCAGGTCTAAACCAGGACTGACCCAGGACTAAACCAGGTCTAAATCTCCATGTCTCAGTAGTTGCTCTTGTCTCTTCTTGTCCTGATCCAGCTCATGATGATTCTAAAACAAATTCAGGAGATTTTCACTTCTGTCCCGTCAGTTTTTTCCTGTTCACACTGTGTGAAAACAAAACCCAGACTAAACCAGAACAGCGCCTCAGACAGAGCAGTGCCTCCGGTTAGCGTCACGCCCCGGGCACTGACATCAGGTGTAACATATCGACCACCGCCGCGCGAGGAGTGAGTGACGGACGCACCGCGAGGCTCTCCGGGCGGACGTGACGGGCGCCGTGTAAATCCACTGTGTTATTATTGCTCCTGTCGCCTCGCACCCGTCGCGCACCCGTCGCCTCGCACCCGTCGCCGCGCTCCTGTCGCCTCGCACCCGTCGCCGCGCTCCCGTCGGTGCGCTCCTGTCGCCGGTGGTGTTGTTTACATTATTCACCGTGACACGTTCAGTATTTAAATAAACACGAGTTCTGATTTGTACAGAGAATAAACGTCCAATAACACAAACGCACAACACAGACGCACACAAAGATACAGAGATACACACACACACAGATACACACACACACAGAGACACACACACACAGACACACACAGATACACACACACACAGAGACACACACACACACACACACACACACACACACACACAGATGCAGAGAGACCTGAGGTACAGCTATATTAAACTCATCCATCAACACAAACACACAGACGCACAATGACAGACACACACACACACACACACAGAGACACATACAAACACACACACATAAACTGGCACATACAGGCACACAAACACACACACAACACACACACACACATACACACACAAACTCACACAAAACTCACACACACGGGTTTTGAGGGAGATACATTAGTGATGTCATTGTTGGAGCTGGAGTCTGTAGAACTTAAACATTTGACACACAATCTGTGGACTAAACCAGAACTAAACCAGGACTACACCAGGACTAAACCAGAACTAAACCAGGACTACACCAGGACTAAACCAGAACTAAACCAGGACTAAACCAGGACTAAACCAGACTAAACAGGACTAAACCAGGACTAAACCAGGACTACACCAGGACTAAACCAGAACTAAACCAGGACTAAACCAGAACTAAACCAGGACTAAACCAGGACTACACCAGGACTAAACCAGGACTACACCAGGACTAAACCAGGACTAAACCAGGACTAACCAGGACTAACCAGACTAAACCAGGACTAAACCAGGACTAAACCAGAACTAAACCAGGACTACACCAGGACTAAACACTAACAGGACTAACCACCAGACTAAACAACCAGGACTAAACCAGGACTAAACCAGGACTAAACCAGGACTAGGACTACACAGGACTACACCAGGACTAAACCAGGACTAAACCAGGACTAAACCAGGACTGAACCAGGACTAAACAGGACTAAACCAGGACTAAACCAGGACTAAACCAGGACTACAGGAACCAGGACTAAACCAGGACTAAACAGGTTAAACCGGACTAACCAGGACTAAACCAGGACTAAACCAGGTCTAAACCAGGACTAAACCAGGAACCAGGTCTAAACCAGGACTAACAGGACTAAACCAGGACTAAACCAGGATTGAACCAGGACTAACTCAGGTGTGGTGTTTGTGTGCTGTTGTTTTAGCCTCATTTAATCTTCCTCTTTCACTGCAGAAGAATCACTCCTTTAATGAACCAGAGCGTTACCGTGGCAACACAGCAGAGAGCGTGGGGATCTCCCGAGACGCTTCCTCCTCTCTCTCTTTCTCTCTCTCTCTTCCACCCTCTTTTCCTCTCCTCTTCTCTCTCTCCTTCCTACTCTCTTCTCCTCTTCTCTTTTCTCTCTTTTCCTCTCTTCTCTCGTCTCTCCCTCTCTTTCTTTCTTTCTCCTTCTCTCTCTTTTCCTTCCCTCCTTTTCTCTCTTTCTCTTTTTCTCTCCTCTTCTATTCTCTCTCTCTCTTTCTCTACTCTCTTTTCCTCTCTCTCTCTTCCTTCCCTTGTCTTCTCTCTCTCTCTCTTGCTCCTCTGTCTTCTGTCTGTCTCTTCTCTCTCTCTCTCTCTCTCTCTCCCCTCTTTTTTCTCTCTACCCCTCTTTCTTCTCCTCTCTTTTTCCTATCCCCTCTCTTTCTTCTTCTCTTTCTTCTCTCTCCTCTCCTCTCCTTTCCTCTCTCCTTCTCTTCCTTTCTCTCTCCTCTCTTTTCTCTTCTCTTTCTCCCTCCTTCTTCTCTCTCTGTTTCTCCCTTTCTCTCCCCTCTCTGTCCTCTCCTTTCCTCTCTCCCTTTCGCTCTTTTCTCCTCTTTCTCTCTCCTTCTTTTCTCTCTCCCTCCCTTTCTCTCTCCTCTCTCTCTTCCTCTTCACTCTCTCTCCCTTCCTCCCTTTCTCTTTTCCCCTCTCTTCCTCTCTCATCTCTTTCTCTCTCCCTCTTGTCTCTCTCCTTTTCTTTCTCCTCTTTCTTTCTTTCTTTCTTTCTTCCTCTTCTCCCTCCCTCCTTTTCTCTCTCCCTTCCTCTCCCTTCCTCTCTCCCTTTTTCTCTTCTCTTTCTTTCTCCCCTCTTTTTCTTCTCTCTTCTCTCCTCTGCACCCTCCTTCATCCCTCTCTCTTCTCTCCTCTCTTCCTCGTTCTCTCGTTTCCTTCGCTCGTCGTTTAATCATTAATCTTTAAACTGTTTGTGTCCAAACGAACGTGACGTCGTTTAAACGTTTCACCCAGAAACACAACAGAAAACACCCCGGTCCACCTTGTGATGTCATCATGTGGTGATACAGGACGTGCTCCACTGTGTTTTTAAACACCACACACCTTCACTACTACTGCTACTACAATACTACTACTACTACTACTACTACTACTACTACTATTACTATTAATACTGCTACTACAATTCTACTACTACTACTACTACTACTACTACTACTACTACTACTACTACTACTATTAATACTGCTATTAATACTGCTACTACAATTCTACTACTACAACTACTAATACTACTATTAATACTAACACTGCTACTACACTACTACTACTACTACTACTACTACTACTACTTAATACTGCTACTACAATACTACTACTACTACTATTACTATTAATACTGCTACTACAATTCTACTACTACAACTACTAATACTACTATTAATACTAACACTGCTACTACACTACTACTACTACTACTACTACTACTACTACTATTAATACTGCTACTACAATTCTACTACTACTACTACAACTACTACGACTACTATGACTACTACGACTACAACTACTACGACTACTAGTGCAACTACTACTACAACAACAACAACAACTACTAATACTACTAATACTGCTACTACAATACTACTACAAGTACTAATACTACTACTACAACTACTACTACTTCTACTACAACTACAACTACTACTACTACTACTACTACTACTACTACTACTACTACTAATACTACTACATCTACTACTACTACTACTACTACTACTACTACTACTACTACTACAACTACTACAGGCCGCGATACGATACACACCTCGATACGCAGGCCGCGATACGATACACACCTCGATACAGTGCACTTTCGATTCGATATGATATATTTTTCTAATTTATTCGATACGGTTCAATAAAAAATCAAGGCTAAATCGTGGCTGTGATACTAAAGGTCGTTGTTAAATCACGTCTTGTGCAAAGTTCATATGAAACACAAACATTTTAATCATCAAAACAGTGAAAATGTGTCGCATAAATGAGTTTTCTTCCTCTGAACAAACAACAAAACTGTAACTGTAACAAAATAATTTAGTAAAACACACCTAAAAATACTCTTGGTGATATATCGATACAGTAGCCCACGATATCGATACTGTATCACAAGCATGTCCAAACTATGGCCCGGGGGCCAAATGCGGCCCTCAGACAAATTTTTCTTGGCCCTCAGGCTTCCAGGTGAATTGGTCCAAATGACCTTGCATCAATTGAAAAATATTTTTTTACTGCAAGTTTTTTGAGAATCTACCTTGATAAAGCTTATATTTCATATTTAGTGTGTGATTTTAAGGATTTTAGCATGAATAAAGACTGATGGTTCATACTAACATGTTAAACATGCACATATTTCAATTATTCACTGAATTGAGCACCAGTGTACGGCCCTCGATCGGCCTCTGCTTCATGTGTGTTTAGATATGTGGCCCTTGATGAAAAAAGTTTGGACACCCCTGCTGTATCATCACATTAAACAATACGATATATTGATATTCCGATATTTTTGCACACTCCGACTCTGACCTCTGACCTGTGTGGTGTCCCCTCAGCGTCGGTGGAGGCGTGTCTGGGGCACCTGCTGAAGCGGCGGGCGGCCGGGTTCCTCCGCAGCGACAAAACGGCCGCACTCTTCACCAAAGTGGGGAAAGTTTACGACGTCGCCGCAGAAATCTGCACCAAAGTCCAGGAACAACTGAACCAGCAGAGCGAGCTCACCAGGTGAACTATGACCTCTGACCCCCTCTGACACTCTGACCCTCTGACCCCTTCTGATCCTCTGACCCTCTGACCCCTTTTGACACTCTGACCCCTTCTGATCCCTCTGACCCCTTCTGACCCTCTGACCCTCTGACCCTCTGACCCTCTGACCCCTTTTGACACTCTGACCCTCTGACCCTGACCCCTTCTGATCCCTCTGACCCTTCTGACCCTCTGACCCTCTGACCCTCTGACCCTCTGACCCTCCTGACCCCTCTGACCCTCTGACCCTCTGACCCTCTCTCTGACCTTCTGACTTTTGACACTTTGACCCCTCTGACCCCTTCTGACACTGACCCCTCTGACCCCCTCTGACCCTCTGACCTCTGACCCTCCCTGACCCTCTGACCCTCTGAACCCCTCTGACCCTCTGACCCCTCTGACCCTTCTGACCCTCTGACCCTCTCTGACACCCCTTCCTGACCCCTTTCTGACCCTCTGACCCCTTCTGACACCCCTCTGACCCCTGACTGACCCCTCTGACCCCTTCTGACACCTTCTGACCCTCTGACCCCTCTGACC